GACAGACCGGAAATGGGCCTTCATAGCCGCGCGAAGAATAGAGATCTCCCTGATTAGGAAACTAATGTAATTGTAATCGGCGAGAAACGAGCAGTTCGCGCGACGTAAACGTTTAGTACTCGTACGTTCTGAGAATTCTGAAAATTTTCAGAATTCTCAGAACTTTTGTAGCTTAGAAGATTACAATAAGGCTAGTTTACATTTTAAAGTCCTTTATATAAAGAAATTAAGTGTAGCAACTTTGTTATTTCGTCGAGTAACATCGTTTCAAAGAATATTTTCCCTTAATAACTTCCGTTTCGTATACACATTAACCAAGGATTCTTATCCTCACCCTTATTCGCACCGTTCGCGTACTCCAAGCGTTTCCTCTCGCTCTGCCTAAGGGTAGTTTTTCTTTTTAAATTAGAAAGTCGCTACAAGTATGTAGATTAAGAATTAATCATAAAAGATAATGTCACCTCGCTCCATTACCCCTGTCTATCTCCTTAATTAGAACCCTCGCATGTCCGCGAGGTGTATCATGGTTTGAATTCTCCAAGAATCCCAGTCCCGACGAACGTGAGAAAATAAATAAATGACGAGCGATCCCCGCGAGTCCAAAGGCAAGGAACAGTTTCTCTTTCGTAGATAGCGTAAGAATTATGGTTCCTCGCGGGGTAGGTTGAAGGGGAGTCGGGCGTGGGCCATTTTAAGCCCTCCTCGGTTTCTGACCTTACAACTCCGTAATTTTTACCCTCCTAGAAGTTAAGAGTAATTTACTGGCTCCTCGTAGGCGTTATTCGGCACCCCTCCCTCTTCATCCCCAAGCCATCCCATCCTTCGCTACCTCCCCCTGTGAAATAGCTAGAAAACCAGGAAGATCCTGGGCCCCTTGTTAATTGTCTGCCGTGGATGAACCTGATTTTCCGCGAAACTGCGAACCGGGAGACTCAAGATAAATGTTACTAATATTGTTACGAAAACAGGTATGGTTACTTGTTTTCTGGCTCGATGAGACATTCCCCCGGGGTGTACTTCCGTTGAATCGCTCGTTCCTTTTCCACTGGTAACAATGGTAGAAAGAAACATCTGAAACGAGTTACCGGTTCCCTGGAATAAAGGGACAAGGACGAGCAGGCATTTCTCTTGGGTTAGGGGTTGATTATTATCTTGACCTTACTTCGAATGGGACATTGATCGCAATTAAACGAGTTCATTGTTATAGCGACATTGATAGTGTATAGTAGTATAAAGCGTTCTAATTGTAATCATTTAAAATAGTGTCGTTTTTGAATAGATTGACCGTCACAGTGATAGTGGTCAATATAAAGTCAGACACAATATTAGTGTATTCTGTTTCTATCATCAACACAAAGACACACATCTCATATTTTCAGATACTTTTATCCTACATCTACATTTTGTCTTTTCTTTCTTTCTCTACTTCTCTTATCACTCTGTTATTTTTAAACTTCTTCTACCATTCACTATGGTCTCCAACCTTACTTACCTTTTCTCCAACTCGTTGCTCTCTTTGATCCAGTGTTCCAGTGTATCCCATTCGCGCTTGCATATAGCGCATCATCTTTCGTTTAATTTGCTGTATTTATCTTTTCCTAAATTATATTGAATAAATGCATTAGGGGACGTGTTGATTTTATTACTTACTTCCGTGCATTTTTCTATCCCTTACACCACTGCATTCTTTTTATCCTTTTTTTTTTGCTTACGTGGTGGAAATCTTCAACAAGACACCCCCAGCCCCCCTGGAGAGGGGCCAGAGGTAGTGTGGGATTTTTACCCACTAATACCCCAATATTATATCAGGTCGGTACTTAGAGATAGTAATTGGTGCTTCGGGGTCCTTGGCACCCCAGATGGTATAAGATTGGTGTGCACAGATACTCACCGGTGTTTCGGGGTTCTTAATACCCCAATATTATATCAGGTCGGTACCTAGAGATAGTGATTGGTGCTTGGGGTCCTTGGCACCCCAGATGGTATAATATTGGTATGCAAAGATACTCACCGGTGTTTCGGGGTTCTTAATACCCCAATATTATATCAGGTCGGTACCTAGAGATAGTGATTGGTGCTTGGGGTCCTTGGCACCCCAGATGGTATAATATTGGTATGCAGAGATACTCACCGGTGTTTCGGGGTTCTTAATACCCCAATATTATATCAGGTCGGTACGTAGAGATAGTGACTGGTGCTTCGGGGTCCTTGGCACCCCAGATGGTATAATATTGGTATGCAGAGATACTCACCGGTGTTTCGGGGTCCTTAATACCTCAATATGACATCAGGTCCGTAAGAAGTGGGCACACAACCAGTATAATAATAATATGGTGTCCTGTAATTTTTTTCCACAGTTTATTTAATTTAGTTTATTTATTTTTTTTGCTTATTCAATAAGCTCATCGAAGGGGAATAACATATATAATTGCACCCCTCTTCTGGGTCTCAGCCGAGGACCCCTTTCATTTTACTTTTTCTAGTCTTCTGTATATTATTCCACATTGTAGTCCAAAGCCATCTCTGTCTCCCTTACATTTCTGCATTCCTTACATCGCCCTTTTTTTTTTTTTTTTTTTTAACGTGGTGGAAATCTTCAGAAAGACACCTTCAGCCCCCCTGGGGAGGGGCCGGAGGTAGTGTGGGATTTTTACCCACTAAAACCACCACGGTGGCCTGCACAGGGACTATAGGTAGGGTCTTTTGACCCTTCGCCATGTGCCAAATTCCGCCGACATCGGGGGCCACACCCGATGCCGGCACTCCTCTGTCCGCGTGCAATGAGGACCGGGGCCCCAGCCCCGGACCCCTGCGGCATCCTTTACATCTTTCGTTTAGTTAGATCTCTGTACCCCTTGTATCACTACATTCTTTTCATCCCTACATTCGTTTCATCCCTACATTTTTTCATCCCTACATTCGTTTCATCCCTACATTCGTTTCATTCCTACATTCGTTTCATCCCTACATTCTTTTCATCCCTACATTCGTTTCATCCCTACATTCGTTTCATCCCAACATTCGTCTCATCCCTACATTCGTTTCATCCCTACATTCATTCCATCCCTACATTCATTTCATCCCTACATTCTTTTCATCCCTACATTCTTTTCATCCCTACATTCGTTTCATCCCTACATTCGTTTCATGCCTACATTCGTTTCATCCCTACATTCCTTTCATCCCTACATTCGTTTCATCCATACATTCGTTTCATCCCTACATTCGTTTCATCCCTATATTCCTTTCATCCCTACATTCGTTTCATCCCTTCATCCCTTTCATCCCTACATTCGTTTCATTCCTACATTCTTTTCATCCCTACATTCTTTTCATCCCTTCATCCCTTTCATCCCTACATTCGTTTCATCCCTACATTCGTTTCATCCCTACATTCATTCCATCCCTACATTCATTTCATCCCTACATTCTTTTCATCCCTACATTCTTTTCATCCCTACTTTCTTTTCATCCCTACATTCTTTTCATCCCTTCATCCCTTTCATCCCTACATCCCTTATATTCCTACATCCCTTGTATCCCTGCAAACCTTACAATAATTATATTACAAAGACTGCTTCGAGTAAAGGTAAGTAAAGGTAAGTTAGTTTTTCACCAGAAATTTTGCAAAATTTAGTTCCCTTTTTCGCCGCCAGAGGGCGCTGATCGGACCTCGAAATTTTAGTTCAAATTTTTGCCGCTAGAGGGCCAAAAATTGAGCATGATTTAGTTCCTTTTTCCAAAACCAGATGGCGCTGATTCAACATCGAAATTTTACTTCGAATTTTTCCCGCTAGGGGGCGCTATTTTTTCGAGGTTTTCACGAAAATCTCGAAAAAATAGCGCCCCCTAGCGGGAAAAATTCGAACTAAAATTTCGATGTTGAATCAGCGCCATCTGGTTTTGGAAAAAGGAACTAAATCATGCTCAATTTTTGGCCCTCTAGCGGCAAAAATTTGAACTAAAATTTCGAGGTCCGATCAGCGCCCCCTGGCGGCGAAAAAAGGAACTAAATCATGCTCAATTTTTGGCCCTCTGGCGGCAAAAATTTGAACTAAAATTTCGAGGTCCGATCAGCGCCCCCTGGCGGCGAAAAAAGGAACTAAATTTTGAACGATTTTACATAAAAATGTCGCGAATGTGTGAAGAATGCAGGGATATAAGGGATACAGAGATATAAGGGATGTAGAGATGTAAGGGATGAAGAGATGAATGGAATGTAGGGATGAAGAGAATGTAGGGATGAAACGAATGTAGGGATGAAACGAAAGAAGGGATGAAGAGAATGTAGGGATGAAAGGAATGTAGGGATGAAAGGAATGTAGGGATGAAAGGAATGTAGGGATGAAAGGAATGTAGGGATGATACGAATGTAGGGGTGAAACGAAAGAAGGGATGAAGAGAATGTAGGGATGAAACGAATGTAGGGATGAAAGGAATGCCGGGATGAAAGGAATGTATGGATGAAAAGAATGTAGAGATAAAAAGAATGCAGTGATGAAAAGAATGTAGGGATGATACGAATGTAGGGATGAAAGGGATGAAGGGATGAAAGGGATGAAGGGATGAAAAGAATGTAGGGATGAAACGAATGTAGGGATGAAACGAATGTAGGGATGAAAAGAATGTAGGGATGAAACGAATGTAGGGATGAAAGGAATGTAGGGATGAAAAGAATGTAGAGATAAAAAGAATGCAGTGATGAAAAGAATGCAAGGATGATAAAAATGCGGGGATGATAAGATAAGAAATAAAAGGGATGGTCAGCTGAGGCCCACAAGTAGGAAATGTTATATTTCATCCCGCTTATGAGCTTATTTAATAAGCTAAGAAAATGAATAAAGTTAATAGACTCGGAAAATAAATTAAAGGTATAATATAATGGTTATAATTTTCAAAGACCAAATAGTTATTGAATGTTATATAAATAAATAATTCTAATATTTTATTGTATATTGATTTATTTGAATAATAAATTGTGTCTTTTCTGTTCTGAGTAGGTGGTGTGGTAAAAGAGAAGTTGGTAACACAGGCTCGACAATCATACCCAAAATCATGACCCTTGGAAAACAAATACATGTCCAGTCTTCTTGTATCTATGGTCACTGGAGGTAGAGAGAGAGAGAGAGTAAGCAGATGGACGATCATACAAGCACAAAAGGAAAAAAGGAGATGGATGAGAATAATAGTGAAAAGAAGAAAAGAGTTAAACGAGGAACAAGAAGATGAAATTACAAGTATCGATTCAAGGCACCTTAAAAATTATTAAAATTAAAGTATTATAGTTAGTATAAACATTATAGAAAACTTTGTAAACTTGATGTAGGCATAATCACGTGCCAACCCCTTTCAAAACCAAAAAGTATAAAATAAAGCTGATGTATCTAATAATACTACGGAATACTTATTTTTATTTATTCCTTCCCTTTTCCCTTCCTACAATTATCCGATTACATTCAAAGAGGTGACGACATTCTTTAATTCCTTATATCGCTGCAAAATTTGATCGAAGTCGATGTCAGTCGTTTTTCTTGGCAAGATAGAAAATAGAAGGATTCGGTAAGTACTTACGTGTGCAGTGCTGTCGAAGCAGGATGGCCACAGGATCACAGGCAATTCAAGATATTGCAACGATGGTATACGTGTCCAAGAACGTGTCTGTGTGTGCTCGAAGAAGAAGCAGGCTACGAAGGGATCGGCATGCATCGAATCCCGGTAGCATTATTTAGCTGGGAAAAGTGCTGCCGACGCCATTAATCCGATTGGACGAACCTTCACCCTTAGGCCTTAGGGATCCATTATGTATTAGGAGGATCGGCTGCTTGCTGGTCGGTGAGATTAAAGCTGGAACGGGCAAGGAAATGCGCTGACTCAACACCGAAAATCCCGAACATAATTTTGCCCTGACTGAGATTTTAATCCGCTAAGAAAATATCGAATCTCGGTTGATACGTGCTCCTCTCGTTCATCGGATATCGATACGAATTAATACGTGAAACTTTGAGGGTTCATACGAAATTGTAGGGATACATGCTGATCGATACCATGGATTACTAACCCTTTGAGTACTTCAATTTTAAATTAAATTATTTCTTTAAAAATAATAAAAATAAAGAATCATCGTACCGCCTCGAATAATTATTATAGTACAAGGAAATTAAACAGACTTCACTCTACATAATTAAAATGTGAAAATCTTTTGTAATAGAATGACTTAATCGCGTTGTAGTTAAATCTGGTCAACTGATAATGACCACCGTTATGAACTGATTATGTGCTTGTTCCGGATTAGAGGTGCATGGAACACGAGGATTACGTCTGACCTTATTAATAGCAACAGCTATTGGCAGATTTTCCAATATGTACAAAGATATTGTTTCAACTCCATACCTTATATTTTATTTTTAAAGAGTTTATTACTAATTGAAACCTCGCGAAGCTACACGTTATCTGATGTGAATTAAAAAATCAAATAATTTGGTGAAATTATGAAATACTCCAAAGGGTAATGAAAAATTGACAATCGAATAAAAATAAGGATCTCTTCAATGTTACGTGATGTGATTTAAAAGATAAAATAATTTGGTGAAATTATAAAATACTACAAAGGGTAATGAAAAATTAACATCCGAATAAAAATAAGGATCTCTTCCATGTTACGTGATGTGATTTCAAAGATAAAATAATTTGATAAAATTGCAAAAGACTTCAAAGGGTAATGGAAAATTAACAATCTAATAAAAATAAGGATCTCTTCAATGTTACGTGATGTGATTTAAAAGATAAAATAATTTGATAAAATTGCAAAAGACTTCAAAGAGTAATGGAAAATTAACAATCTAATAAAAATAAGAATTTCTTCAATGATTATATCATGATGTCAATGAGTTATTCTCTACTAAGAAAAAAAACAGGACTTTCTTTATTCTTTCTTTCCAAAGAAACCTTATTTATGTTCAGACAAAACGTACGTTTGCGTAACTACAAGTTTTCACAAGTATTTCACGTGGCTCTATTAGTATGGTAACAGTCTATTGTATTTTACCTCGTTATTTCTCTTTTTCTTTATTCCCTTATTTACGTGTTTCTACAGGCAACGCAAAGTTCGATGTTAATAATCCAACTACATATCGCGGACAATGCAATTTCTTTCATCTGTGCCGAAGCTCTTTTTCGAAAGATCACGATTTATGTAGTTCACGTGGTCGTTTTCCGTTATCTGTTCGACCCGTAATGTTTGCCACCTATCTCTGACACGTTTATTTTCTCGTTTCAGTATTTCATTTTCGTCGCTGAATCGTGCGATTTATTCGACGGTACCTTATCTTCGGTTCTGCATACTCCGTCAATAGTTTTCAACGAGCATTGACGAATAGACGAATCGTCATTCAATTTCAAATTGTAATCGGTGAAAAGAAGAATAAAAATTCGAAAATTATTCTAGAAACCAAGATACCCAATCGAAAAGGATGGAAATTCGATGAGACGTATTTTAGGGGTGGATTATTAAAATTATTTTTATTGTAAATATCATTTATTGGACTTTTAGGCGTCATGGGGGTACAACGATTACAATCACGTTGCTTATTTATAACACCTAAGCAATTCGACGAAATAAAGAATAAAACAAAAAATAAAACAACAAAGAAAAAGGGTAGGGACATCCGATTATTCCTGGTTGCTTCAACTTAAAACTCGCAAAACAAGACACACCGGGATGTACAATTTTTCTTTTGATATATTCTCGCTGTTTGATTAATTAAACACCGACTTCCGTGCGAGAATTAGGCGCGAACGGATGAATTAACGAAGCTACGGATCGTAGCCGGTGATGGGCGTATTAAAAAATTAGGAACCACTGCGTTTTGTTTTTCGTCTTTAGGAAAAATCCCACGCAACAATGTAGTTTATTTATTCACCGAAGGAACTGGAACGATTCGAAACGAGACGCTACGCTATCGTCTTTTTTTTCTTTTTTTTATTTCTCACCTACCAATCGTGGAGATCAAACGAATAAACACACAGAGGACAACGATTTTTCTCTCTCTCATCCTTTCATACTGTTAGAATGCAATCATCATTTACAACGAGTTGCTAAAATATTCATATCTCTTCGATTAATCACTCGGTCATACATAATACCGGCTCCGATAAGTACTATAGATTTAATTAAAGGTATTGTAAATTTAAATGACATTACGGACAATATGCAGTAAAGGAAAATACTCCTAAAAGCATATTTTCACGATTTACTCTTCAAATCCACATAATATAATGACATTTTAATTATGGGTCAAAATGATCATAATCCAAAATGTCCATTTTCCAATAATTAAATTAAGTTCTTGTCATATTAAATTGATTTCGGTCAATAAAATTGATATTATATTAAAGATTGAATATTTACTGTGATTGGACACTGGGAAGTAGTATAAATCTATTATGGTCAGACCGTCATCTTACGTCAAGAATAATTCACCGAAGAATAACACAATACTTCAATAAATAATTCTAATGTAATAAAATTAATTACTACATGTTTACTGTGAGCGGACACTGGCAAGTAGTATAAGTCAATTGTGGTCAGACCGTCATCTGATGTCAAGAATAATCCATCGAAGAATGACTAAATGCTTCAATAAATAATTTTAATGCAATAAAATTAATTACTACATGTTTAATGTGAGCGGACACTGGTAAGTAGTATAAGTCAATTGTGGTCAGACCGTCATCTTATGTCAAGAATAATCCACCGAAGAATGACTAAATGCTTCAATAAATAATTTTAATGCAATAAAATTAATTACTACATGTTTAATGTGAGCGGACACTGGTAAGTAGTATAAGTCAATTGTGATCAGACCGTCATCTTATGTCAAGAATAATCCACCGAAGAATGACTAAATGCTTCAATAAATAATTTTAATGCAATAAAATTAATTACTACATGTTTAATGTGAGCGGACACTGGTAAGTAGTATAAGTCAATTGTGATCAGACCGTCATCTTATGTCAAGAATAATCCACCGAAGAATGACTAAATGCTTCAATAAATAATTTTAATGCAATAAAATTAATTACTACATGTTTACTGTGAGCGGACACTGGCAAGTAGTATAAGTCTATTATGGTCAGACCGTCATCTCATGTCAAGAATAATCCATCGAAGAATGACTAAATGCTTCAATAAATAATTTTAATGCAATAAAATTAATTACTACATGTTTAATGTGAGCGGACACTGGTAAGTAGTATAAGTCAATTGTGGTCAGACCGTCATCTTATGTCAAGAATAATCCACCGAAGAATGACTAAATGCTTGAATAAATAATTTTAATGCAATAAAATTAATTACTACATGTTTAGTGTGACCGGACACTGGCAAGTAGTACAAGTGTACTATGGTCAGACCATCCTCTGTGAAGTATAATCTTCTGACGAATGGTTTGATGCTTCAATAAATAATTCTAATATAATAATTAAATGAATAAAAATTTTGTTATTCTGAAAATCTGTTATGCATGCATTGATCGAAGGGATAGAAAATATTTATGCAACTCACTGCGCGTTTAATTTAGAACGTTCGTAGGGGGTTTAGCTGAGTGCGTTTTATTGTTACGATCCTCGTTGAAACGTTCTGAACTGAAATGATCGAGCCAGCTCTCTCTCCCATTCTCTCACCTCTCTCAACGAAACTGACCACGATCGATACGCGACATCCAGGAGGGGGGAAGGCGAACGAGAACTTATGGCTAAATAAAACTTTATAAAAATATATCAACGAATAATAAATATATCTCTAACAGCGTCACCGTATAATTCGTCATACATAGCCGTCGGTGTACGATAGCCTATGCATTTACAATCACTATATACACGCTATTTAAACGCTACTTACCTAAAATAATATACAACAATTTACCTTTAATGCTCCTATTCTTGGAATATTTCTTCATCCCTTTCATTCGTCTCCCCTTATCCCTACACATATTTGGATCAATCCTATCTTTGTTCATTGAAAACCTCCGCTGGTGTTGCGAGTCTCCTGTTCAACAATTACGTCGTACCAGGGGCGAACTGAGTCGAGAAAAATTTCTCGGTGGTCAGGAAATTCGGGTCGCTAATAGTCCGGTAAAAATTTCACTCACCAGTTCGGCCCTGCATCGAGCGTGTACAATCTTCGATGAAAAATTGGTCTTCGAGTTCGGTGCGTGCCTCAATCTTCACCATGTCGTATCCTTACAAATAAACTATACAAATATTTACACGTGCCCCGCCGTGGCGAGCAACGTAGCATCGTGGCTTCCGTCTTGAATCGAGACGAATCGAAAGCTTTCGAAATCGCGTAACAATATTTCTTCGAAAGCTGATGAATCCGCTACGTCGCGGGCGGACTCGAAGTCGTTGGTTTCGAAGTTTCGAGCGCACATGGAAACAACAACCCCCTTCGTTTGGTTCCCCCCGAGGAACCTAGGTATCTTATTTAAAAGGAAAATCAAACGGTACATGCATGGTTGTTACCTCGTATCGTTGCCTATCTTCTAGGAAAGTCGTAGGGTATTTAAAAAATAAAAAAAGAGAATTGGAATCTTAGCAACGAGATCCAACGAGTAAGGAACGTCGAGGCCGGATTATCGACGTTGCCGGGAAGCTCTTGATCGTTCATTGACAGCGTCGATAAAAGGCTTCGTTTCATTTTTTTTTTTAAATCTCGTATTAAGCGCGCTCATTTTTCGATACCTAACAAACACGATTCTCGTTGCATCGTCATCGAGTCGCCTCGACTTTTCAAGAACACATCAAACGTATTTCACCCACCCTCTCTATTTCGTTAGTTTTATGTACAATCGTCGCTGGAAGAACGACGGAACTGTATTTTTTTATCCCTTCGTTTCTACCCCAGGAAGTTTCTTTTATTTTTGATTTTCGAGTAGCGAGAAACAGTTAGGACGAGTGAATTCAACGACGATACTCTTGGAGAACGAGCAAGAGTAGAGACAGCGATAGACAGGTGAGATTCGTTGACCGGAAGTGAGCGTGACTGTACTCGGAGGCTCGTGTCACGTTCAAGAGAACGGAAGCGTCCGCTATCCCTTCCGACGAGCGGACTAACAGCAACCATTCTCCGGCGTGCGACCATTGAATCGTGTCGAAGCTCAACACCGTCCTGTAACAGGACTCCGTGCCTCCGTCCTGAAAAGCAAACAGGAAGAGACGTGGCTCGTTAATGAATTCGACACTGTACTGCTACGGTTTGCGAACCACCCTCGTGTGTTCCACTTAAGTGATCCAATTGTAGCTTTATAAATAATGTAGATTTTTTGATAAAATTGACAGTCTATTAGTTTTAATTATTTCTATATACAGGGTGTTCGACAAGAGGTGGGCAAAATTTTAAGGGGTGATTCTAGGGATCAAAATAAGACGAAAATCAAGAATAACGAAAATTCGACAAGTGGGCAAAATTTTAAGGGGTGATTCTAGGGATCAAAATAAGACGAAAATCAAGAATAACGAAAATTCGACAAGTGGGCAAAATTTTAAGGGGTGATTCTAGGGATCAAAATAAGACGAAAATCAAGAATAACGAAAATTCGACAAGTGGGCAAAATTTTAAGGGGTGATTCTAGGGATCAAAATAAGACGAAAATCAAGAATAACGAAAATTCGACAAGTGGGCAAAATTTTAAGGGGTGATTCTAGGGATCAAAATAAGACGAAAATCAAGAATAACGGAAGTTCGACAACAGGTGGGCAAAATTTTAAGGGATGATTCTAGGGATTAAAATAAGACGAAAATCAAGAATAACGAAAATTCGACAACAAGTGGGCAAAATTTTAAAGGGTGATTCTAGGGATCAAAATAAGACGAAAATCAAGAATAACGAAATAGCGTTTGCGGCTTTGTTTTCCAGTAATTAATGTTTAAAAATTCGAATAAGAAGCGCCTGAAACCTGCAATCCGCCCAGCACCGGCGACTGAACGTCAGGTCAGCGGGGGTCGGTACAATCATAACCAAGAATCGAAGCCGAATGCTGCAGTACCGAGAAACAGAATAGCACGAGGTAAGTTTCTACTATTCAACGATTCTTGGTTATAACTGTACCTTCCCCTGTATAATAGATCAGTATCTGAAAGAAGGGTTAATAAAACTATAAAGAGGCACCCTTACTTGTGCCATCCCTGATCTATTTTGTTTTAAGAAATTTTCAAAAAATTGTTATCCAACGCTAGATACTTTTGCAACGTGATTCAGAAGATTTGGATAGCTTGATAATGTTGGACCATGAGAAAGGGATGATGGATCGTGAAGAAGTTTGAGAGAGTTATTAGGGCTACGAAGAGGAAAATTGATGGGCGAAGAAGTTGGGGTTATTTTTTAAAATCACCTGAAATTTCTTAAATGGATCTCTCGGAATTTGCGTATTTATTAACCAACGAAGATACTTTCGCATCCTCTGTCCTTCAAGAACAATGTTCTTCTTTTAAAATAGCGTAACTTTGTTAATTTTTCAAAATTATCGTCATCGAAATAGATTTACAGAGATTGAACTCGAAATCACCGATAGGAACGGGATAATACGAGGGGTAGAGAGAAATGATCGGGAACGTAGATTTCATTAATTCGAAGCTGTTCGACCTCTTTCGCGAGGGACGTTTTTATCGTTCATTAACTCGCGATTCGATAGCGTCGATTTCGCGACCGTCTTTCTTATCTGTCGCGATTCTGCTTAGCTTCTTACGATTAAACTTTCGCGCGAAACTTCTGCGGGGAAACTGAAAACTTCCTTAAATCGTGCTGCTTCCTCCTCCTTCGATTGGCCTCCGATTTCATTTCTTACCTTTTCTTTTGCAGTTTTACTGCTTTCCGATTTATCCTATTTCTTTGGCTAAGATATTCTAAAATCTCACTATTAAATTAACAATTTCGTGTAACAGGTGATTCAAAGTTCACTATTACACCACTATGAATAATAATTTAATTAATCATCAAACTCGGTTTAGAAAATCAATGATCCAAAAGATAGAAGGAAATTTTATTTAACTCTAGCAATAGATTCTTTCGACCGAGTGATTGTCTTGTGCAGAAGCTTGCCTTTCCCGGAAACGGTGTACTCTGCTTGCTTTACCGCCGCATCCCGGCGCGTGCAAACACGAGTAGACACCTGTGTGCCGCAGGGTCGTATTAGTCTAGTTCCGCGGGGCGTCGGTCCTCGGGAAGGAATTTCATCGAAAGTTCCTGACAACTCAAAGTGAAATTTCCCTGGCATTCGTCGAAAGCACGACTGATAGCATTTAGTACGTGATTTATCCCCGACCCGTTCTCTATATCCCTTGTTATCCGATGCTGCACTAGAGGATAATTAATTCGTGAAATCCTCGACGAGGCTTAGAGAGAGAGAGGGAAAGAGAGAGGAGGAGAGAGCAGGAGGAGCCGATGCACGTGTTGCGGTGAGGGTAAGTTATTTTGACCCAGATTCTGTTTTGAATGCCGTACCCAGTCTATACTGTTTACCAACTATCCCGGCAAACTTCTCGCTGAAAAATTAATAAGCTACCCCCGGTTCACCGCAATCGCCAGTTGATGAAGAAACTTGTGTACTCCACGAGCCACTGGCAATGTGTTTAACGATAGCAGTGAACTAGCTTCTCAATTTTCCGTTTTCTTTTTTTTAAATGTTCGTTAGAAAACTTTGTGGGTGTATAAATTAAAAGGGGTTGATAAGGGGTGGAAGAATCGGGGAGATAGTAATTTTATTTTTGCAATGTTTCGTTGATCTTTTGATATTTTTAGAAACAGCACGAGCATGGAGGAAATTTATAATTTAGGATGTTGGCTTAATTTTTTCTGGGGTTCATTTTTATTCCCGTTCTTCTTCGCGATTAAATTTGCACGGCTATTCTGTATTAAACTTAAGACAACCTAAGCCCCAGTTTCTTCAGCTCAATATTTCATGATGTTACTTTATAAATTAGGTAGCGAAATAATTTACCGCGCTTTAATAATTAAAATCTCGAGCTTGCTATGTTGAAAGGTGTATAATCGTGATAATAAGTACGCGTCTGAATGTTATTATTTGTTTTTGTTCGAAGGAAAGGCCATGAAATTTCTTAATTCTAAAAAATGAAAGAAGAAAAACAAAGATCTTTCACCGGAAAATCGTTCAATTTTTTCCCCATAGAAATCGCGATTAATCTTCAGCGGAGAAAGAAACGTACGATTGGAACGGGGAATAAGCGGACTCGCGCGTGTCCCGAGCGTAAAACGGAATAATACAGAGCGAGTTGTTCGCAGGGAACAGATTGAAGTGCTTAAGGGACGTTCAAACGGTTTCAATGAGATCCGTAATTTCTCCGATAAACGAGTATAGCAAAGCAGACACCTGCAGAAACAAAACAAAAACAGAGAGAAAAAAAAAAGAACCGTGGACGCGGAAATTAACAAGGACAATCACTTTTTCGTCGAACGAATTAAGAACGTTCCTGCCCGGCACAAAAGAGATTAAAAGTTAATAAAAACAAACGGAGCGCACAGATGCATTAGCAAATCCCTTTAAAGCTACGTTGGATTCTTTGCTTCCCTACCGCGTCTCTCTTTCGCTTCCTCTCCTTTCTCTGTCCCCGTTATTCCTGATTCCTCGGAAAAACGGTTAATCCGTCTTTTGTGCGGATACATCCAGTCTCTGGACTCTGTCTGTCGCAACAGAGAAAAAAGGGAAATAAAATAGAGTGAAAAAGAAGGGGGAAGAAAGCTCGAGGACGATGCCAGCTCGAAAATGAAATAAGCGCGAATACCGCGTATGAATCCTGCTATCGTGTTTCATTTCTCGTTCCGTCTCGTATTTCCATGCAACAAGCGTTTCTCGTGTTTCAGCAACTTTTCTTTTCATCCTTTTCATCTTTTTTCCTTGAAACAAGAAATCACGTTTTAGCTGACCGTCTAATTTCACCATTCGACGAGACGAAGATTCTGTACGTGGTTTTGTATTTCAAGGATTTACCGATTCGAATGGGGTGGAAAGTTAAATCGTTTCTTACTTGATCTTGTTTTCGAAGCTATTGTTAACGGCTCTCTTATGTTTATGGATCGAGGAAGTGTTTCCAAATATAATGCGACATGCTTGCAAGTTGGTTATTGCACTTTGAAATGGATCTTTTCTGGGTTCCGAAGGGTTTCTGGAATTCTTATATGGAGGGTGAAGTGGAGAAAAGAGGTCGAGATGTTATTTCTATGTCAGTCTTAAAATTTGAAGATTTGAGAATTTTTATAATTAGAAATATCGACCCTTGGTATTTTTCAAAATTTGATACATTAGTAATTGAAGGGATATTTCTAATTAATAATTTGGTATTTCTATTGTAAAATAAAATAAAAAATAGAAGATACCTCGATAGCAAGTGCTTGAACACCGTCTCTGGATGGTGCACCAGGTACATAAACGTTTTCCTCGGATATCCAGAACACTTTAGTGTATCTCGGTTCAGCGCAAAATTCCACGACGATATTCAAAGGTTCACCCTCCTTCGATGTCACTGTTTGAGTTGGTGGATAAACCATGGGTCGACCTGGAACAAAAATTTGCAAACTGGTTAGATCGATGCGCTATTGCGGGCTTCTTTATTGATCATAAATCCAACCCCTTTCGGTAACGCTATCGCGACCCAACCCTCCAGCTTGCACAGAGCTTTGTGTCTTGTTAACTATGAAAATATCTCGGCGTGTAGCTAAACGACGTAATCTTCCGTAATTCCTGTTAAATTATGTTGTCATTGCCGCGAGTACGGCGCGACAAGCTACCGCTTTAAGCGGGACTTCATTAAAATGAAAGCGTGATCTATCGACGTGAAATAGCAAAAGTTTCCTCGTATAAAGGAGGACGTTGAATTTGTAAACGGTCGAGAGATCCACTTCAAATGTTCACTAGATTATTTGCTCTGCATTATTCATTAATTAAATAAATATTAGCTATTAAGTTTATGTTTTGAAATTTGACATTTCATGAGGTAGAAAATTATATTATTCAACGGGGACAAAGTTTGCATTAAGTAATATAATAATTAAAAGTAAAAAATAATTTGTAACATAAGGTTGAAAAAAAGATTGATCGAATACGATACACTTTAGTAAATCTGATCCTCTTATTTGTGTATAAATTATGAATATACCGTCTGAATAAATTAAAGCCTAATTACTGTAAAATTGATATTCTGCATCGATGGGTTATTACCGAGAGTATTGAAACGCTTTATGCGAAAGAGAAATACCCGATATCGCATAATCGAATTCGGTTTTCATTGCTCAATTTGTTCCGCTTATCAAACGCGTCATAATGGCTGTTACAAATAATGAAAAGGTTGATATGTTTATTACGTTAATGCAGAGCGATAATCAGCGGTCGTTTTAGTAATTTATCGCGAGGAACCGTCGGTTGAAACATGCTATGTTAATCCACGAAACAACTGGGTAAAAGAGAAGTCATTTAGGTATCGTATATTTTTCTTTTCATAAATATTTATAGAACACGTTTCACGTTTTTATCGCAACATCTTGCGGATTTTTCTCCGGTGACGATTCGCGTCGACGTTTTTGATTTACTCGTATCACAAGCGTCGTCGATTTCTCGACAAACACGAGACGACAGAGGCTGATCGAAAGTAGACGCGTGACAATGTAGCCGCATGCCTACAGCGATGCGTTGAACGCGGAAGAAAGAGACAAGCGTGTTCCGGTGCAAATTGCAGTCACGGGCTTCTCGATTCGAAAGCCTGAAGGCGATCTCTGATTTCCGGCGAACAGCTCGAACGTGGTTCTCGTCAAAATATCGTCCCGCCGCTGGCGACGACAGCCGATTCGTCCGTTAATCGCGTCCTAACGTTCCCAGAGAGAGAGGAAATACATTCGGAAATCGCAAATCGATGGGATTCACGGGTAACGATCCGCCTCTTTGATCCCCGATTTCAATATTATTACAAGGGATCCTGAAATGTTTTGCCACACCGATCCTATCCCCCTTTAAATCGCCAATACGAATCTCTTCTGCTTCTCACTTCTTTATCGACACGTATTCAATTTTTCAAAAATATTATATCATAGAATGGAATTAGAATATTTTTAATTAGAAATCTGGTTGAAGAGACAAAAATTTTGGATCTTGTTAGAAATCAAAGGCTGAAATTTGTTTTCTGTTCTTCCCAAATTATGCGAACTACCCCTCGATACATTTAATAATAAATGAAAATTGCTAAAAGCAGTTTCACCAGACCTTGGTGTCTATAGAATATTTAAAACGATCCGTTCGTAATTATAAGCTGCTTTTCCAAAAACAACGTCCACGAAAATCTGGATAAACGTTTCGTTTCAATGTAGAGAGTTAATGAAACTCTGTTTCTTTAATGAAATGCGATAATAAAATTTGTTTGCAATCAGACGTCGATTTGAATACCCGTCACGGTTTCAATTATTTAAATGGCTAAATTATTCTGTGATCGATCGAGGTGAACGATGCTGAGGCTGCAAAAAGAAGTATAATTAAATTAGCGCCGTATTCATCGTTGAATATTTTTCTCGGTAATTAGCGAGTATTTTGTTTCCATTTTGCTTTATCATGGAAAAAGTCCATTATTATTTGCTGAGTTTTAACGGTGGAAAAATATGTAGCAGATGCGTTGCAAATTTCGAATTCCTTATTTAATTGAAATTTATTTTTTACACGTTTCTCAAGTCCCATGTGTGACAATAATTTGCCTCGATTTACACGAGAAGACATTCTCATCGACACAATCTCATTTGGCCAATTATCTCATCAACGAACCCTTGCTATCCTAATATCTAAAGGAACTATCACCTGTCTGATTGGAAGCTTTTGATCCATAGCGATTCTAGTTCGATACGTATCAGAGAAATCGATGAGCGAAGAGACACTATGAGCTACTCGTACTACTCGATGTCGCGTCAGTAGCTTTGTTGTTGCACTTTGGCTAATTGAAGCGTGGATAGCGGAGGGGCCGGTTAGACCCGACGTGTACCGTCTCTCTCTCTCGCGCCTCTCCGCTATTCTACACCCGTTCCTTTTACCCCGTTCTCATCTGCATGGATTTCCTGCTTCGTAAAGCAAGCTTTCTGACCCTGCGTTGGCCCATCTGCAACGGTGAATAGAAGCGGAACAGTACACTCGGCCGTGGCTGCTCATGAATATTCCTACGACTGAAATTACTGGAATACCTTGGCTGTGCCTCTTGTTTCTGCGGTGAGGGTGGAAGCACCCCGTTCTCTCTGTCTTTTTTCAACTTTCATCGAACCTTTTCTATCTATATCGCCGACCTGTCTCGATACGGGAACAGCTAGCTTTTGCTTTTTACCAATGAACGCGATGGTAGAATTTTTTTCCCTATTCTTTTTTTTTTTTTTAATGTGTATCGGTGATTATTGTCGAAATTTATTTCTATTGTTTTTCTTAAGGAAATTAAGGGATGGACATTTTTATTTGAGATAGCGGAGTAGATTTTATCTTACGAATTTATGTAGTCGTGAATTTTTCAGAAGGAAGAGAATTTAAATAAAATATGATATTCTGTTAGTAAATAGTAGTAGATAATTGGAAAATGAATTTTATATTGCGGACCTTCATTTGAGAAATCAATAAAATTGGAGGAAAGGGTATTTGACATCGGTGTTCAATAAATTTTTTAAACGCCCATAATTGCACAGCTAATTTGCTTGGTACGGTGTAATTTATTCAATCAGTCAATGAGCAACAGGTGAAGTGGTATCAGCCTTTAATGGCATCAAAAACGAAATGTCAAATAATCTTTTAAATTTTCAAATAAATTCTTGTTCTAAACTGTATAGTTTAAATGAAAAAATAAAATTTAGCGTTGTATATCTGGTTAGCATTAATCTTAAAATCTGAGATAAACTATTTGTTCCTCTCTCAAGATATTCACGGAGAGTCGCGAATGTAGATGAGAACGTAAAAGAAGCTCAAAGAAACTGTTGGTCGTTTTCCTGAATTTTTTATACCAGCCGTGTCAGCGTGTAGCACGTGACACACATGTAGCTTTATGCATTATGCAAAACGGTATTAAGAATGTGAAGAAACTCGAGATCTCTCGTGTCCTAATTATAATTTAAAGTTCTCTTCGTCATGAATAAGTGAACTATCTAGAAGAACTTGAAGAAGACGGGAAAATCCTATTTAAAAACTTCTGAATTAAAAACAACGACGACACTTTGTTGTTATTTTTCGTCTCATATTTATTTCACGACATTCTATTGCAATTTCTTTATAAGACAAGACGCATCCGGTGCATCAATACTCTTTACCGTGTTAAATTCCAAAAGTTGCAAGTTCTAATAGAAGGATCGAATTGTGCATTTAGATAATTGTCAGGTTAGCGAGAAGAAAAACAGAGATGGTTGATCGAATTCCGGGATGAGTTCAGAAACGAGCTATGTCCCCGAAAAGTACCTCTTAGCAAGTTAAATGAGCCGTGGGCAATGGCTGGTACGTTCTACAGTGATTCATTTCTGATGCCGTCGTGGAAAAAGTTTCGACAAGAAGTTGCGTTACCGTAACGAATTCCGTGCGATCGTTGCTCGATTCTACTCGCGTGCTGCAGTTTGTTCCTTACGAGAAACTTCGATCCGACGAAAAGTTCGCGAATCGTTTTCCAACCGGCAACTCGAACTGGTCGTGGTTACTCTTTTTTTTATACCCTTAAAGCGATTAGCGATCCTTCTCTTTCATTTCTACCATAATTGGTCTAAAAATTTCGATTGGAATTAAAGGATTCCAAGATCCTCAAATCGCAGGATTCTAAAATTCTAAAATTTACACGAACCGAATACTCGCGAATATTCAAACATTTCCCGGACCAGTTTCAACCGGTGAAAATTTTCACCGAGAGCCTCTCTTACGACGAAAAATAAAACCATCACTTTTTCGGTTTTCACGCCCGAAAATTTCGCGTGGACGCATCGTCAAAGCTCTCGTTGCTTAAAAGACTAACTGGTTTTTTAACGACGCAACATTCGTACACGCGCGGCACGGTATTTTCGAGTTTAATTCGAGAAATGTTTTTCGTGGTCGCGAACGAGACCCGTTCGATCGAAGAATCGACCGTTTAATTACGCGGTATTAATTTGTACAACGATTCTCTGCAAATCGAGATAAAATTGCTGTCCCCGTTTCATATCATTACCGGTAATTTCACAAATTACATCGTAGTTTTCTCGCTCGTTAAATATTCTCTGATTAATTGCCACTGCGAGCCTAATAATGTAATTTTTAAATTACCCACCCCTCTAAATGCATTACCGTTAATTAAATAGACTTCATACTATCTGTACAGGCGAACCTCGCATTAGTAATTTATTAGAAGCGGCGATCCGAAAATTTTGAGAATCACAAACGAAAGGGCACTTAATTAATTGATGTTTAAATAGAAACTTTCAGGGTATCTTATAATTTTGTCAAGCAGCGTATTTGATGGTGCATTGTATTAAACGGTTGTCTGATCAAAAACGAGTATTTCTACTTGCCTCGACTCGATTCGAGGGAAGCGAA